CATAATAATGGTAAATGTCCAGTTGGAATAAGACCTAACGGGAAATGTCCTAAGATAATGCAAGCCATTTGGACAAGTAAAAGATATATGGAAAAATGTCCCCAAAAAGAAAACCAAATTTTTCAAAATGTGTATACCTAGAGATGAAATCGGCGAGGCTACGAGTAGTAGATTCGATGAAACGGTTAGGATCCTGGAATTTTGCGTTAGGATGTTCATGTGGGAAGAAACCGTCGTGGATGGTGTGGACGGTGATTGAGTAGTCGTCGGAAGTGTAAGGCTCACGGTGGTTGTTGGAGGCAATGATGAGTTTAACGGTGAATCCCTTTTTGGATAAACGTTTTGAGAATTGGATCATTGGGTTAATGTGGCCTTGTAATGGATATGGAAACAGTAGTATGTCACCACTTGCTTCACCCATTTTTTTATTTTATTTTTGTTACGAGTGAAAGAAACAATAAGTGGATGATATGGTTCTAATTCTAATATGTCTCCGATATATATAGGTCTAGTTATTTACAATGTTGGATAAAAAGTTAAAATTTTATTTCTTAGCATGCATATGTGTCAATTCTTTTTGTGTTTTTACTCGGTCGAGTTTGAAATTTGAAGGGATGATGTTTCGTTATATATTAAGTTTTATTATATGCAATGTGAGAGTATTTAATTAGTTCTATCTTTCATTTTTGACATTCAGGGTATTTAGTTCTATGAAATTTACTTGGATGAAATCAATGTGGTGTGATGTTTTACATAGCAATCTTCAAGTTTCAGATGCTTGAAAAAGATTGTGATGGTGAGTAGGATTTTTACTGAGCCATGTAAAAAACGTGTGAGGAAGATGAAGCCATGAAGGGAGGAGATTAGGTGAGTTGGTTCCATGATATTTTTTGTGGAGCATAAAAATGATTTTTTTTTTCTTGTGGAGCATGTTTTTTTCTTGTTATTGTATTATTTGTTATAAATTAAAAAGTTGTGGACCAGTTACAAACGCATAAAATGTTAGACAAGTAAAAAAAAATATTTAATGTTTAAATCATCTTTCATATGGATGTTCTCTTCTTCTTCTTTTTTTGACTTGTCGAGACTAACGACCTAATTGGTAACTAGGTTGTGATTATAGATTTTTGGTTATAGAAAAAAAAGTTGTAAGAACGGTAGTTGTTACTTTTAAATATTAATAAAGTCTGATTGGTAACAAAAAACTGTAAAAGTTGTAATTGTAACTTAAAATATTATAATTTTATATCAAAATGTAAATTATGACAAATTATTCTGTAAAGACACGGAGACGAAGCTCAAACAAATAATCTGCAAAAGCAATTATTTTATTTATTTTTGTTAGTAAACTTTTCTATTTAGCTAATTCAATCAAAATAAAAAGAGCACAAATTCTTAGAGGTAAAGAGATGAAAACGAAATTTTGTAATGCGGCTCTGCTCCACTTTAGAATTTTAAATTCTTCCGTATTATTATTTGTATTTCTTCAATTGGATATAGATACAAAAAAAAAAAAATATTTATTTCGCAACTTGCAGATTTTAGATTCCACAAATTTTATATTTTTGTGGAGAGAAATGAAAAAAAAATGTAGCTGTGATCAATTAATCGAATTTAATTTTTCAGATAAAATTAAATTAGTTTTAGAAAAGAATTTCAA